AGAAAGCGCAATGTCGATGTGTTTGTTCTCTTTCTTATCGCTCGACGGATGAAAAGAAAACAAGTCGTTTCAAGTTTAGCCAAAGGTGAAGGTGTCAACTCATCTTTTGAGACTTGATTGGAGGATAGAACCTCCGGTTGTGAGTGCACGATCTGTTGCCCTATCTATCCAAATTCACTAACTAATCCCAGTTCAAAATTCCTGACAACATCAATAATTTATTACCAACGAATTAACAATACAAATAATTTTTAATAATAATAGACGTCTGTTCTTCTTCTGTAACTCGGTAAATAAAATCTGATGTATCACAATGTAATACGATACGAGAATTATTGTAATAGAGTTGACTGTCGTTGTTGAGAAGGAGTAAGAAGAGAAATGTGCAGGTAACAAAACAATATGCACACTTTTAACAAAAGACTAAATAATATCTTGCACTAAAAGAAATATTTTGAGATCGAAAACGAAATTATAGTTATTTATGTGAACTGTGAAACAAGGCTCCATCTCTAACTTTGAGTGTTTGGGTAGGATTTCAAATTTCGATTATTTCAAGCAAATCCTACGCAAATACACCCTTTTTGAAATGCATCTTTTGAATCGTAAAAGAGACACAAAGCAAACAAGTTTATACTGAAAATGACGCTGAAGGATTGCTTATCCTAATGCAATAAACTCGAGCTCTCTGGATCTTATCCTTCTCGAGATATCTGATTTAGGACAAAGCGCGGCTTATAGAAAACCGCGACTTGGACTTCGGTTTTTTCAAAAACTACATGTCGAATTTTGATGAAATTTTTTTCCTAGCCACATCTCAGCTAGTACTACTAATGTCAGAAATATGAAAGTCCATCGTTTAATATTTCGAAAGATATTGGCTGCTCAAGTTACGGTAAGATCGAAGTTGTATCACTGAAATTTAACCATGTTTCATCGTTACAAAAATGAAAGGTTTTTGAGAAATATCTGTAGAAAAAAACGAAATAAAAGAACAGCCAAGTTGATTTTGATATTTGCATGCCAACTGCAAAGATTAAATTCGTGTATAAGATCTTAGCTTCAAACAAACGTTGATTTTGTGTTTTATTAGTTTAAGAAACAGCATAAGAATTACATATTCTCGGTTCAACAAAAAGCTTTAATCAAACTAAACTTCCATGTAATTTTACAGATAGCAGTATTGAATTTACCTTGAATTATATTGGTCACTAGCTGCAATTATATAGAAGGAAATGGAAGATAGAATTCTAGACAAGAATCGTTGAACAGTAAGTAACTATGACTAATTACTAATTATGCTGAATAACGGAAGAAATGCAGAACATGGAATAAAAGGATATAGGCGGGTAAGCTAGAAAATCGTCCTAAAACAGAATTGATTTTGTTCGATTGGAAATGTGTTAGAAGATCACTAAGACTGTTGTCCAATACTTAGTTTCTCAAAATTCGAATGAGTTTTTTGACGTCCCCCAGGATTTTCAGAAAACTTTCTTTCTCTGATATTTTCGAAACTATCTGGGTTAGATGCAGAATTTGACGCTGATCATGAATATTACCTTCAAAAGTGAAAAAAGTTGACTTTTTACGGAGAAAAGCAAGTTTTTCTAAATTCTGCCCACTAGATAGTATGCTTTGTCCGATAATCCATACTAAAAATACTTTTTATAACTTCAAAGAAGTTCAGAATGTGCAGAAATGTTTTTTCTTTCAGAATATATGTTTGAAAACAGGATCTGTTTAGATTAAGTGGTTTGAAAAATTCAAGATAAGATCTAAAACAGCGATGCAATCGGTCCGTTTGACGAGTCTCGGTCAAACCACTGAACCGAATCCGAACCCGATCAGCTTATAACTAAAAAATATGATAGAAAAAAAAGTAGATTTAGTAGCATTTTGCACTGCTCAAAAAAAGAAAATAATTAGATTCATTATTCTCTGCTTGAAACATTCGCACTTTTCACTATTTCATAAGACTTCTTGGAAAATCCGAGTACCAGTCGATTACCCATCAAAATTTTTAGAACTCTTATTGTTATCTCTAACAAACTTTCCTCAATGAGTCGTAGAAAATCAGCAACAGAATTGCTGGCATTCATTTTAATCCAATTTCGCGTCTTTTTAAAATCGTTGTCAGCATGATAAATGCATACAGCCGCCGTTTGTGCAAGATATATCCAGAGAAACTGAGGTAGACATTTCCAGGAAACTGGTCGCCTATCGGATTTTGATGAAATGATGGATTAACAGATCCTGTGCAATAGACATATATACAGTAACGCTCAAAATTATTGTTCGATCTTTATTTTCAGTTTTCTCCTCGACCAGAGTAGATAGAACAAATCTGAAGAAGGATTTGAATAGCTGAAATTCCGGTCTGATGCTACCCGTATAAAAATTTCATCAAAATTCTTTATAATTTGAACCTCTGAAAAATCAAAATTCTAGAAAACAAAGTCCCCGAATTCCATCACTTCAGATTGGAAATTTCTTCACTTATTCAGATCTTTCTCAGGCTTGTTTTATCCATTATGATCGAAAAGAAAAACTAAAAATAAAGATCGGCTAATATTTTTCAGCGCTACTATACACATGTCTTGCAGAAAGTTTATATCTGCACAAGATCCGTCAAGTTTTTTGATCTCAAAGAATGTTTAACAATCCTTGTCAAGTTTTTCTGAGGAATCTGGCTGTAAAAAACTTGATCAAGATCTTGACAAGATTTGAAAACTTTTCTGTAATTAAGGGGACCCTTCCTCAGAAAAAACCCTTTTTATCTTACATCCGATTTCGAAGGCGCTTTCAGTGACTAATGCTTGCTGTCACACTACCTTATGTTGAGAATTCGAAATCGAAACATTGAAGCGCTGTCGAGCTATTGTGTGGCAAGCGGCAAAAGGGGCTGTTAGCAATAACGTAAAGGCTTTTCTGTTGGAAGGGGCAGAAAGCTGCGAGAAGCCTCAAATGAAAGTAGACATCTAAATCTAACATTTGATCTGCGGCGATTTTTGAATTTCGCTTCCGTTCATTCCCTACACGTATTTTAAGTCAGACCTCTGAAAATAACCCTAATTCGGCTGAGTATTTGCCATTATCTCTGCACAGAAAAAAAAAATCAAAAATCGCCGCAGGTCACACTTTAGATAAATGGCTTAGCTTCAAAATAAAAAAAGAATGAAGGTTTTACGGCGAATCGTGTAGGAATTAATACAACTTTGCTGCGCCAAAACCATATTCTAAGCAATGACGTCATTACTTCATTAATTATAGTTCAGCGCCTTTAGCAAAACTAGTATAACTCTGCAAGACGAAGTCGTACAAACCTGCTGGACATATCATTCTGTATTTTCATTTTTTTCTACTGTATCACTACAGTGCAAGCTCTACGGTGTTATGCATACAGTACTAGAGCTGTTGAAAGTGCACGAGCAATACAGTTAAACACAATGTTTGAATTTCACTTTCAAAATTTTCAATGTTTTGTAGTCCAAGTATTTATTCTTAAATATGCAAAAACAATGTCAAACAAAATGGTGATTGAAAGAATAACACATTTATTTGTCTACTCTATCCACCAACAGAATTTTAGCACAAGTCGTCTACACTGTAGTGTTACAATAACTATAAATAAATGCAAAGTTGGCATATTTACATTTTTGTCGAACCTCTGAGTCATGTCGTAATCAAAATGATTGCTAACTTTCTTTGTTAGCAAAGATTTTGTTAATTACAGAAAAGTTTTCAAATCTTGTCAAAATCGTGATCAAGATTTTTGTAGGCAGATTCCTCAAAAAAACTTGATAAGATCTTGACATGAATTGTTGAACATTCTTTGAGATCAAGAAACTTGACAGATCTTGTGCAGATATAAACTTTCTGCAGGACATGGGTATAACGCTTTTTCACCCGAATATTTTGATAATTTTCAGGTCCCTTGTTCGTGTAATTATTCATAAATCTACTGCAGTTTGATCAAAAAGCGTTATACGCAGCCGGAAGATATCTTATTTTACTCAGAATTCTTTACTCTATCAGACTGTATGCTTTGCAAAATTTTCTGACCAACCAAAGACCAAAGACTTTTCCAGAAACGCTATTATCAGGTTGTCTGATAAAACTGCGATATGCATGTCATGTGATAGAAAACTCTTCTGGCTACTCAAAACAGTATTCAGATTTGTTCTAGCTTTTACTGAAAAATCAAAAAGAAAGGAGTTCTTATGATTGTGACACGCAGCATTAAATAAATTACACCTGACGATTCTTTTGCATATCTTTAATGACCGATTCACCTGTCTAGATATTCTGACTAACGTAATTTGTAGAGCATTTCAAGGGCTATCGAATAGTATATTATAAAAGGATGTATAACGTTTCGTTTTGGTAGAAAATATTCACTAAAACAGTGGTCTACTGATGTTTTTTGGTAATCAAACGTTCGTTGATACGAAGCCATTTTTGGACTGATATCTAACCTTTTACCTTGTACCTTTGGTTTATATAGTAACCTGTTTCATACCTTTTTTACCAACAGAAGGAAAAAATGCCTTTACGTCAAGGAGTTATTTTGTACGAGGGTTCGTTTTCTTTTTCTTTCCAACATATACACATATATATATAGTTATCGTTTCGTATAGATTCGCATAGAATTTATTACCTAAAAGAGAGAAAGAAGAAAACTATGGCTCGATCGAAAAAAAATCCCCGAGGTAGAATACACATGATGTACAGCGAAATATACTTCTAGTTCTTCTTTGTTTTGTGCACAGTTACTCTACTTTGTCTAAATGCAACTGATGACTCAAATGACACAACAACGGCAACTTATGCGTTAGTATAAAGTTATTGTTCTAGCAAAAACTCATTCTGTGTGTTTTGTAGGTTAAAAGTTCCAACAACGACAACGGTTTTGAAGTATGAAGGTGAAACGATTAATATAAATATAAATGATTTAGATATACAACAAGTATTGGGTAGTGGAGGATACGGTACGGTTTCTTATGCGACACTTCGGAACTATCCAAATGTTAAAATGGCCGTTAAAGTATGTTTACCTCCTCGACTTTCTACCATATAATGCAATTATATGTTTCTTGCAGAGAATTCGAACTGGAACCAACGAAGAAAAACGTTTGTCAACATATACCGATTTAACAACAATTGAATGTATTGGCACAAAATTATATCCATATATTATCAAATATTATGGATCAATCATTGATACAGTAAGGCTTCCTTTTTTTAATTGTATATTAAATACACAATCACATGTTGTACACTCAGGAAGATGGTGATCTACTTATTTTTATGGAACTGATGGACACATCAATGGCTAGATTTTATCAAACGGTGCATGAACAACAAGACTTAGATTTACTCGATTTAATATTACGACGTATGACATTCAGTGTAATTAATTCATAAAACATCGTTTGAATGTAGATTTCATGTTTTTTTTTCTTTACTTAAAGATTGTTTCAGCATTGAATTTTCTCAAATACCATCGTATTCTTCATCGAGACGTTAAACCACAGAATATACTTGTCAATCGACAATGTCAATTTAAATTATGTGACTTTGGTATTTGTGGTAATTTTACCAATTCAAAGTCGGTAACATCATCAATCAAAGGTACAGATGTCTACTTGCCGGTAAGTATATAATATGATATCTTAAAATCAGAGATCAGCACGGACCGGGCGTGGACCGATAGTATTTTTATAAAGTCGGGCCAGGCTGTCCCAAAAAGCAAACATCACCTATGGAAAAAATCTAGATACATTTCGTCTGTAATCGGGCGATACACGACAAGTTATCATCTAGATTACTAGTTGGAAAAGCGACTTTTAATAAGATGCGTCTGCATGTGTAACTAGCAATAGTTAAATCTATCGATTATCGGGAAATAAATCGATAGTTGCAACTAGAAAATATCTAGTAATCGCTCAATTACTAGATTTCCACTGTCGTTACCCAATTATTGCAACTGAGTAAAAATCGACTAACCTCGATGAATCAGGCGATACTAGATCTTTTTTGACGCTTGGGGATCAAGGAATATTTTTGAGTAACATAAAAGAGGAAGAAGACCGTTTTATCAAGAAAATTTTCAAGAGTGGTCGGGCCGAACCAGATAAATTTAATCTTCGGTCGGGCCGAAAAGTATTTTCGTCGGATCGGACCAGAAATTTTCGGCCCGTGCCGATCTCTGCTTACAATACAGTTTATATGATGAGAATTTTATTTAGCCAGAACGAATGAAATATAATGCTGAACCGTATGGAATTCGTTCTGATATTTGGGCACTAGGTATCACTATTGTAAGTAACAAAATATATAAAATTCGATCATTAATGTTATCCTTGTTATGCATAGGTTGAAATAGTGAATGGAAAGCAACCATTTTTAGGTCTCTCATATATCGAATTGGCTGATCTAATTCAAACATGGACACCTAATATTGATGATAAACTGATATCGTTTGCTTTAAAAGAACTTATTCTCTATCTGTAAAAATAATTATAAATTTCTCATACATCGATAGATATAAATATGTGTGTTTTTCTCTATTTAGATTAAAAACAGATTATAAACAGCGCCCGAAGTCGTATGGCGAAATACTTGAAATACCAGTTTTACAAAGTGTTCATATAATACCGTCAAACGATGAAATGAATTATATTAAAAAAATTATTGATAATATTGGTTCCTGACATATCCATCATATCTCTTAATAGTTTTGTATCAACGTTTTTTCTAAGCCACGAACGTGAAACATCGTTTCTTTCTAATGAAAAGTCAACAATTTTTCGGTAAAGCGAGTGGACTCACAGCACTTTGAAAAAACACGATTATTTTGCACCGTGTTGAAATTTTATTAATACATATTTAGGTTCTTGTAGTTGCTGTTGTGGTAACTGTTTTTTTATTAAAATATGAAAATACAGCAGAGTGTTTCAATTACTTGTAAACAATAAATATTTAATATCTATAGATGACCCTTATGGATCAATAGGAATGAAATACAGAGGCTCGACTTAGTATCATAATTTGAAAGTGACACTACCTTCAATCAAAGAAGTTTTGAAAATAGTTGAAAACTACTCTTAAGAGTGAGCTTTCTTTGTACCAGTCTAAGGGCCTCTTGTATATCACATTAAAAGGAGAAAATCAAATCATTTTCTACAGAATGTTTTCTAGAAAGTCGTTAAATACTGTGGTTTGGAGACAATAAAAACTTGAGAAACCTCTCTTATTCAAGCAACAACAGTATTCGACTACCATACAAAACCTCTGTGGTGAAGGGACATTATTAGTGTTCTGTATCAAACTCGCTTCCACTCGTAGTATCCGAACAGTTTAATTCCAATGAATTTCGATGTGCAGTCCAGCAATCAGAACAAGCGCCAGTTCAAAAATGGCTCCAAATGGTCTTTGGGGAGCTAAGTGGAGTGCCGCCACCAAACTCACAAACCCATAGGCTACAGATTTCCGTCACAAACTAAATCCTGTCATCGAGCCGAAACGGTCTTTTTAAATGAACGTATATATCGAGAATGTAAAAGTGACCGTTTTGAAGAAAAGATGGCATTTTTTGAACGAACACTAAAAGCGCTGTGAGCAGTGCATGCATTCGACTTCTGTTGATAGTCTGTTGCAAACGCATCTGAGTTCACGAGAAAAAGAACCCGGACGAGAACGAGAAAACGATTGGCTATCGCATGAAGGCCGATCAGACATGGTTAGCTTGAGGAAAAGAAGCTGGAATCTCGTATAAAGGCACCACTTATGTTTGCTCTTTGTGCTTCTGCTCGATATGTCTGATGGCGTGTGAAAATATTTGTGAACAGATAAAGCAGCGCATTCATCATATGAATAAGAATGTAGAACTGCTTTGGACTACTGACTGACAGCTCTTCTCCTCTTCACGAATGAGTGATGATGATTCTTCTCGAGGATGTACAGTAATTGATCGAAAGTCTTTAAGAAAACACTTCTGGACTAAAGAATCTTAGGAAGGTTTTCTGTAAGGATGTCAGTCTGTCATAGAAAATTTACAAAGAGACGTTTCACTCCAAGAAGTGAGATTCTAAAAAGACGGAAAGAGAGACCACTTTTTACTATGGCTGCTGACAGAACTAGAATCAGCTTTCCCTCTTTAGAAGCGGATGAACAACTTCGAAAAATGTTATTATCGGTTGTGGTCGTTATTTACATATAAACTATCGGCACCTGTACTCAGCCTAAGCTGCTATAACTACTGTACTACCTTAAAACTACTCCACTTTATTTTAAATCAGTAGAATGTTGCATAAACATGAATGAAATGAAACTGTTATCCAATTGTGTCATATTCTAAATCCTCTTGTATTATGTATTTGTCCATTTCTTCACCGATCTTATCTGCCGCTTTGAATGTTTCCTCATAATTTTGTGCATGCTGTATAAAACGCGCAATTAATTCTGTGGAACATGCGGCCATGTATGCTTGAGATAATGTCGTAACATCCGTAAGAGTAAAATTATTATTCTTATTTCGAATAAAATCTTTGAGCTCGGCCCAGGCTAATTCTATGGGGTTGAGAACACAATGCTTTATCGGTAATCGTAGAATCTCAACTCTGAATTCTTCCTCATCAACTTTGAATTTCTTTTCTGGTGCATAAGCAACTGCTAGCTCGAGTAATTCTGCTTTGGTACACAAGTTCAAATAAGGCACCTTATGGTCATCTAACCATTGTACAACCTCTGCCTTTTTCCATGCTCGCTTTGGTAATTTTGTCTCATCTGTCTGCTCATTATGTCATGTGGCATTATCAATAATGATGCATATTTTAGCGTCACCTAAATATAAAACAGTAGTGTAATTCTAGATTCACTGAAACCTTGCTCAGTTATGTCATTTACCATTTTCACCTCTTAATGTACACGAAGTTTCCCAAAGCCATTTAACAAAACGACTTGAATCCATACCGTGCACTTCATTACATTCAAAAATAACAACTGATGGTAAATGAAAACCTGCACTACTTATCATTGCACTTATCGCTATATGTCTTCCTAAGTTTGCATAAGACACGATGTTATCGAGAAGAACGAAAATTTCTAACTCGACTACATATCTCTTCCATCGCCTGAACGTATTCTGCCATACCCCGTACTATCTAACCAAATATGTCGCTTCTCCTCACCACTATTCATCCAAGTCTCATCATGCCAATAAATCAGTGTACCATCTACTCGAAGCTCTTCAAGTTTCCTGAAATAATGTGCCTGTGAGTGATAAAAAACGTCGAATCTAACGGAACGGTAGTTTTTGATGTTTTGGCATAGATAAATCCAATTTTTTTCATATTTTTTCATAAAGTTGGTCGACTGTGGATCGGAAAATCAGAAAAAACAGCTCGTAACCGCCCCAATAGTTTCTGCAATGTTGGATATTCCTTCTCAGCGACTAATAGGTGGAAATGATATCTAATCATATCTTGGCCGTATTCTGACAGGCGACTTTCATGCCGACCGGAATGAGCTATTTTCGTTGGAGAATGTGGCATCGGAGTCTAGAGTTGAGATGCAGAAAAACTATCAGTTGTTGTTATCGTCGGTGATGATCGAAGTTTTATTATAGCTACGCTGGTTGCTTCGTTCTCAATATCCTTCATTTCTTCTTTCAAATTGAATATGGTACTGTGTGAAACACCGAACATCAACTGTAGACGTTCGGTGACATTATTCAGTGGTCCATCGATGTCTCCCGTCTCTTCATCAGATTTTCTTTGAATTCCATTCATACTACATTCCTTCTTTTCTTTCTGACTTCAATCTCGTGCCTTTTTACAGTTTGTATCATTTTTTAGAATAAATGTCTATATAATAATAAGAACAAAAAATGAAGGACACTGATTCCGTGCTCAAGAAAGTGAAAATGTTTTTCGTTCCCAATTTTCCTGAACCCAATGTTCTGGTGCTTAGTTCATGATAAAATATGACACAATTGGATAACAGTTTCATTTCATTCATGTTTATGCAACATTCTACTGATTTAAAATAAAGTGGAGTAGTTTTAAGGTAGTACAGTAGTTATAGCAGCTTAGGCTGAGTACAGGTGCCGATAGTTCATATGTAAAAAGGTTTTCAAACAGAGACTACCACTAGACTCAGCCTGGTCAATAACCCCTGTCTAGAGTCATTTGTGAGATTCCCACGTGTGAGAAAAGATCAGTTCTGGGCCTCCCAGAAAATTCATGCCAGGCCTAAGCGATCACATACGAGAGTCTCGCTTGACTCCCATTTTGAAGAGGACACTTTGGACTATCTATCCACGAAAAAAATCAAACCAATTGCATTTCAAGTTTTTGAGCAATGACCTGGTTTTCCAAAGATCTCCTGAAAAACCTGCTTTAAGAAAAGATTTTGAATTTAACTTTCATTATGAAAAGATGCAGTTAAGTCCTAGCTCTCGATTAGTGAAGACTGCAAGCATCTACCACATTTCTGTCCAACGTTATTCAAAAAACATCCGAATCCATTCTTTTTTATTATCGAGAATAGTATAAAAAAATTTCTGTTCAAATCTGGGTAAAAGCGGACACTTTTCTTTACTAAAATCACATTAATTCCTCCACAATATCATAATAATCGGCACCCTCAAAACAACGCCCAAATGATAAGTGAAAGCTATTTTTCTCAACTTTCCTGCACTTAAATGGCCTACAAAATATACGAATGAATAGACCTTGAAATTCTCTGCAAACTAAGTTAGTTAGCATATTTAGACTAGTCAGACCAGTCATCAAGAACATGCCAAAAACGCATTGGACTTCGGAAAACATTCGAATAACACCCATTTAGAAGTTGTTTCTGTCATAATGAAAAGTTATATATTATTGGATAGCTGTTGAAACTGGAAAATCTGCAGGCTAGAAAACCAGGTCTTTGGCTTTGATCTGAATTTTTGCAAACCATACAGCAAAGCATTCTAAGTAAAATAAGATGTAACCGTGTTTAAGTTCTTCAGCAAACTGCAGCTAATTTACGAAGGGCCACAAAGGGTTAAAATCACCAAATTCTACGAGAAAACAGCGGAAATATCGTGGTGAAAAAGTGTCATATAGAGTTAGGACACATCTTATTTTGTTCAGAATTCTTTGCTCCATAAGGCTTTATGATTAAATATAAATAAATGGTTAATAATAAATATTTATATTATTAATAAATGGTGGTGTAATGAGAAAATCCTAAAGTGGTTCTATTTCAGCACTTTTTACTGCTTTCGTGTTGGTTTCTGCTCTTGGTAGAATGCGATCTGGTGGTAGAATTACAGTTCATTGTTATTGATATTGATATTATTATTTTGCAACTGTTAAATTTTATGCAGGTTGTTGTTCTGTTATGATCTACTAAGAGAACTTCAGAAAGATTCAATCGGGGGTGTAGCTCATATGGTAGAGCGTGCGCTTTGCATGCGCAAGGCACGGGGATCGATGCCCCGCACCTCCATTCTTTTTCTTTTTACTGAAAAAATGAGATTTTTCCATAAAATTAACTTTTTTTCATTATTTTTCCCACCTCACATGTTTTGAATTACATTTATTCGATTCAGTTTTCCACGCTGCATTTATTGAATATATTTCGAAACATGTGACGTGGGAAAAATAATGAAAAAAAAGTTAATTTTGTGGAAAAATCTTGTGTTTTGGGATTTGCTGTTTGCCCAAAAGTAATAGACGATTATCTGGCTTGTTTAAATGTTTTTTCGTGAAGCACAACAGAGTGAGTTGAAATCTTATCAGAATTTTGGTCAGTTTGCAAAAACAATTTATACTAGATAATTATATGAACGTTCATTATCAATTCGATATTGCTATCCACGTTTACTCGAAGCCGAAGTGAAAGAATCGACCGTCAATAAAGCTTTAATTGATCAACTACCATCGGAAATTTGGCTTCATATACCGTTGTCATGTAGCTGTCTGTGTTGTAAAGCACGTAGATGTCTTCGTTTCATGTGTTCTGTTGCATTTCTACTGACGTGTGCCATTATATGTCTCTTTCGATTATTGTGCGTGTTGTGTGTGTGTGTTTTTACATTTTTACTCGATTTTTGTTACCATTCATATTACACTGTAGAAGTGGATGAACAACTTCGAAAAATACTATCAAAAAAGCATTGGCGTTGTATTCCATATCATCTGCCTGGAAATAATCGAACAACAAATAATGGTGACTGTGCATGTATAAATTGGCTTTATTGTAATAATCATATTAATTTATCAACATTGGACAATACTCCGTATTTATACTTGATATATTGCTTGCATGTTTTCATCACAGATAGTTGACCTCACATGATACTATTTACCTGCGTAACTATTATCCTTCGGCTTTTAAGAGCCTTTGGAATATATCTTTCATTCAGTAGTCTATTGTAAAGACCAATAGTTTTTGTTGAGAGACGAGTAGTTCGTCATGGCAGAACACAATGTTTTTGATATATGCAGTATTTACCTGGAAAATTTTCTTTACTATTCTCTTATAATAACTGCTTTCGAGTGCTTATAAACATTACGATATTATTCAATTCCCTTATGTATATTACTATGCGTTAGACTCTCTGAAAAGCATCGAATAGAGTTCGATCTAGAAAATGATTCTAAGCTCTAAGAGCGATAAGTTTTAGTGTTTTAATTTGACTGCAGCTTCTGCAATCGTTCTAGCAGAGTTGGAGCCGTTTGTAAAACAATCAGGCGGATCGGATCGCCCGATGGCGGAATTTTAGTGATCGGATCGGATCGCCCGATGGCGGAATTTTAGTGATCGGACTGGCGGTTAACAACTGATTAAATTTTAGTTTCGAAACCGGTAGAAAAAGTTGATTTTATGTCGCACTATTCAAAAAGAGTCTTCGGAAATTTTTACAAACGTCCGCTGAAAAAATAGGAGTTTTCCATAGGAAAGGGCACAATGTGCATTTTTCCATAGGCCAGGCGGATATTTGTTATAGAAGTAGTCCGAAAGTCTATACACCCTTCTTATAGGTTTTCAGATATGCTCTTGCCAATGGTGTGTTTTAGGAAGTTCAAAGGGGCTTTCATCTGGGTTCTCCAGAGATCGGGTCTCTAGAAAACCCACACAAAAGTATTCTGGAACTTTATAAAGCGTATCATTGGAAAGAGCATATCTGAAAACCCATAAAAAATGTGTTTATAGACTTTCGGATTGCTTCTATAGTAAATATCAAAATCCTCAGCCTTGCGCTGATTCTGAATATGTCATTTTTATTGAATAAAAACACTTCTGGCGCCAGAAAAATGGGAAATACCTTTAAAAACTAGTGGTTTTTGGAAAACCCACGACTCAGGACAGGAAACGTTTCGCTAATCGTTTGGACGCATCCTATATAGCTCAACATTTCCTGCATTCTTTTTTTTGCCGACAAATATGTATTTTTCCATCGCACTAAATTGTGCAAAAGGAAACTACGAGTTATGATAATACATTCTTATAGAAGACCGTACACTTACGTATATATTTAAATAGTCTTTACACGTGATCACTCACATGTTACTAGCTATACTATGCATAAATGTCGACCTTACTTTAACGTCGACACAACGTATACGACGGGTCCTTTACTAGCAACGCTAGTGATAAGGTACCAAAGATGATGTTGTATAACTCTTGTTATTAGGTGTCTTCTCTTGATAATGAGAATTGTATTCTCGAAACGTCCATAGATAAAAGTTCAAAAAATTAAAAATTACAATAAATAAAATTCAAACACATTGCTGTATTCTTGTAATAAATACTGCTGTGAGAAAAGTTCGGATGTAAGATCTGTCTCATGGATATGTTGTAGCCCTGACTTTTCTGGGATATTTTGTCTTACAGGTATACCCTAATTCTGAAGTCGACCTATGATAAAGTAGAAAATACCAAAAGTCTCCTCGTATACACATATTTTCAATGAGACTTATAGACGCCATTTTTCAGCTAAACTTTGAGAAATAACGTCTCTATCTGACTCATTTCTGATACAATTCTTTGCTCATCCAAAGTGCGGTCGTTTTTGCAAAGTACGATGACAAATACTGTTCGCCAATTTGCACATGATTTGCTTTCGATAAAATTTCATAGTATACACTTTTTGCGA